CTCGGCCGCGCTCTGCTGCCATCGGAACCGGCCGCGTGCCCCGGCACTGCCCCAGCACTGGCACCGGGACAGCTATCGGCACCGCCACGGCCATGGGAACTGGGATCGACACTGGGACTGGGACTGACTCCGGGACTGACACCGACACGAGGACGGGGATCGGCAGCGGAACTAGGAACGGGACCGGCACCGAGACCGGCGCTGGAACCGAAACCGGAAGCGGCACCAGGACTCGGACCTAGACAGGGACTGGGACCGGCCCCGGCACCGAGATTGGCACTGGGACCGGAATTGCCATCGGGATCGGGACTGCGACCAAGACCGACGCTGGGATAGGTATCGGGTCAGGGACAGGAACCGGGGATAGGTCACCGGGGCCAGCACCAGGACTGAAGCCACCCTGCCCAGAGCACCCCGTTCCCACAGCCCGGTGCCTTCCTCTTTCCCATCCCCTTGAAACAGCCGGTCCCGGGCGCACCTCCCTCCCCGAGAGCCCCAGGAAGGGCCTGGAGGGGCAGGTGTGGATCGAGGGGAACCCTGGGTGGGGCCTGAAGGAAACTCTCTTCCCTGGAGCAGTGCTGGAAGTGGGGCAAAGATGGCCTCATGCCCTTGGAGGAGCCCTTCAGAAAATGATGAAGGTCCCAAGGGACCACTTGAAGTGGTCCCTGAAGGCGATCTGTGGGAAGCACTGGGGCCAAAAGGTCCAAGGGGCTACTGAGTGCTCAGGGCAGCCCCAGGGAGGGCCAAAGGATAACCTCAAAGAGTGCTTGTTCCCTCGTAGCCATCCCTGGGGGAGGCTGTGGTAAGTCCAGCCTGTGGAGCTGGAAACACTTGCAGAAGGGATCTCAGACCTGCAGGACGTGTCATGGGAGAGATGTTTCAAGCCCCTGTACTTGCTCCTTCTGATGTCTGCGTAAACAGTTTGAGGATTTCAGCTGAATCCTCACTCATTTGGTCGGGGTCCGTGGGTGTTTGGGTTGCTTGAAGCAGCAGACTTGGCTCCCTCGTCATGGGCTGTTGGGCTTCGCCTGCTCCGTGGAGCCCCTGAGAAGGGCTGGTGGGATCTCGGGATCTTCCCAGGCAGGGCGAGTGCCTGTTCTGCTCCTGACAGGCGTTTGCCTGAGCTGTTCCTCCCTGGCACACCCAGTGCTGAGCTCTGGAGGTCACCAAGCACCTCCCTCACACCCCGCGGCCAGAAACGCTCCCGAGTCTTGGCCTGGGAGGTACCTCCCTTCCTTTTCGCAGGATTGCTTCTCAGCAGCATCACAGCTGTGACACTTTCTCTGTGCCCATGTCCCTACTCTGTGCCCTCATCTCTTCTATCTGCCCACGTCCTCTCCCTGTGACCGTGTTCCTTCTCCATGCCCACCTCTCCAGCCCCGTTTCCAGTGGCTCCCGGAGGATGACTCCAAACTGATGCAGAGCTGTCCAAATCCAGCTCCTCAGTGACATCTTGTGCTGGGAATGCTCACCGCAGGCTGGAAAAAAGTTCCCGCAATTGTTTTTTCCTGCCGTCTGACATCGCTGTAGTGAAACCACGGGGATTCCCTGAGCTCATTTGTAAGGTTTTCTTTGGGAACATCTTGTCCTTCCATGGAGACAGCCAGACAGTGGTATTGCCTTTGACAGAGCTGGGTACAAAGCTCTGGAAAAGCATCCACTTCCTTCAAAACATTCCCTGTGCTCTTTTGTACCATTTAGACAATAATAATAATTCACCCAAAGTTCCTCACTGTGATGAGACTGCACATATGAATTCTTGGGATGCAATTCAAACCTTGTTTCTCAGCCAATTTCCAGAAAGAAAATTCCCTTCAAAGGCTCTAATGGCACCAGTCACCCCTGGGAAACGCTTGGTCTTAACAGGGAAAGCTTCCAAGTGCTGCCTGCTGTGCCAGCAGAGCTGCAGCCCTGCAGCATCCAGATGAGTGCAAAACCAGGTCTGAGCTTCTGAAGAAACTTTACTTCCAGACTCAAACTCAGAAATGAAATGTTAAAAAGCCACTTTTTGATGAAAGTAAAATCTGATGGGGTTTCTTTCAGGGTGGTAGTAGCTGAAGCAGAGGACATCCCTGAGCTGGCAGCCCTGCCAGTGGCAGGGAGACCAACAAGGGATGCTCCAGGCTTCTGTGGAGACTGTACCAAGCCCTTATGGGTCACCATGGCCTTGCAGAGCACTGACCCCCAGCTCCCAATACCCCTTGGCTGTGACATTATGCCCTCGAGGCCACTGTCCCCATCCCCACCATGCCCAGACAGGTGCTGCTGGCACCTGCTCACGGTGGCTGCAGCTGGCATGGGAAGCTCAGTCAGCCCGTGGCTGGAACACCCATCACAGACACAACCATGCTGCTATATCACACGTGGGGGACATGGCTGAGGCTGGGTAACACACATTCAAGTCTTTCCTTGGCCACTCTCGTCATGATGGGAATAAATCCAGGAGAAGCTGTTATGGATGGCGTGAGAAGCTGTAAAATGTGAAGAAATATTTAAATGTGAGACAAATGGGTGAGGAGGGAATTTGGCACAGGAGGAGATGCAGTTCAGAAGTGGAGGCCATACCATGCATATTTCATGGGCTAGACCTCAGCAGAGGCTTCTTTGACACCACAAACATCACATACGGCAAGGAGCAACAGCAGCCACTCCCAGCACCTGGGAAGGACAAACTGTGGGGTGATTGCTCCTCCTGCCTCATGGTAGAAGTAGGCCAAGGCACAGGACCTGGAAACTGCTGGCTCTGCTTCTTGAGTGTGGGACCAGCCTTCCTTACCTTCCTCTTCCTTCAGCCCAGTGCCAGGCTAGGGGCAAGCCTGCCCCATCCTTGGGACCGGGGCTCTGACCTTGCTGTCTCACATAAATAAACACTCGGGGATGGAAAATTTCAAGCCCTCCAGCCCTGCTGCCCCAGCACTCTGTGCTTCCAGCATTGCTCCTCTGAGGTTTCCTTGGAGAATGCTGACTCAGGTCCTTCTCTGTTAGGTGTTTCTCACTGATCATATGCCTGATTTGTGCCCAGCACCTGTGCTACCAAATCATTCCCACTGCAGGCCAGCATGCAGGAGGGACACCTGCACTGTGTGGGAGCAGAATGAATCCTCAGCTGTTATCAGGCTCTATCATAGGTACCCCTTGGAGCAGCAGGTGCTGGGGTGGCAGGAGCTGGGTGGGTCAGTCTGACATGGATACATTGAAAAAACCCAAGAGAAGGTGGACTCGAGGATGGCGCTTCCCAAATTGCAGCCATGTATGGGTTCTCATCTTGTAGGGGGTTATTTTTCTTCACAAGAGACTTCATCTCCCTCTGTGCAACTCTTCAGGGAGAATTCCACATCCACTACTGTCCCCTCTGTGGGGATAGACCCCTGTGGGGTGAAAACTCCCAGCCTTAGGATGGGGTATGTTTGGATGAGTTGCTACTCTCAGACCCTCCCAAGCCCCCAGTCAGCCTCAGTGTCACCCTCCTGGGGATCACTCTGACTTGTGCCACATTATGGACCACATTCGGGCAGCAGGATGGAGGAACCAGCCTTCCTTCTCACAGCTGGGGAACCAGGGAACTGCATCCTTCCCCTTGCACTTGGTGCTGCAGAGGTTGGCCCTGGGAGGTTCAGCTGCTCCAGCAGGATTAGGGGTGATCCCCATCCAGGTGTGGTACAGGCAGGTGAGGCTGCAGCACTTGGTGTCCTGCCTCTGTGAGACCAGAATAGGAGTTTTGGGAACTTGCTGGTCACCTGGGGAATCACAGGGTGGGAGCTCCAGCTCCTGGGGCATTCCTTTGGATTGGGGTCCCTGGAGAGAGCAGCTGAGCACTGCCACAGACCTGGCAGAGGAAAGAGATGCTGGGTGGCTCCTCTTGCAGCTGATCTCCTGGCCAGCCCAGACCTTGCTTTCCCAGCATGGCTGGGATTTTGAAAGCTGGGCTGTGTTCTGATCCCTGGAATTTTCCACTTGCATCCCAATGATTTTTGGTGAATTGCTTGCAGCCTAAGAAATAAATATCTTCTTGATTCTTCCTGTGAGTTCCTGGGTGGGGCTCAGCAGCCATGTGAAAATACCCAGGTGAATTCCTGTTTCCATAAAGGTCAATGCTGTTAAAAAAATTAATTGCCTCTGAAAGGGAACCTAGGAGATACCCAAGGCAGGGAAAGACACATCAGACTTACCACATCAGTTAATTCTATTTTTTTGCAGAGAGACCTTCTTTTTTTCCATCCACTGGAAGAAGGGGGTCATGTGAGATGTCCACAAGTGTGCTTGAGGGAAAAGGAACATCAGTGGAGACCTGAAACGATTTTGCTGCTCTTACAGCTGAGAAAAGATCACGCTGGAAGGTTTCTGTGGAAGTGGGGCCTGGGGAATGGACATGAGAAACTTTTTTTCCCAGCTGACTCTCTTGGCGGGTGAGTTGTTTACAGAGCCTGGATGCCAGAGTACCTGGAAGGGAGCCAGCTCTGTTTTAGCCCTTTGTAAATGATTTAAACACCTCTGCTGGGGAAACATTCCCAGGAAAGGGCTCTTCTTCCTGAGAGGACCAGGGATGTGCAGGAGATGGTGGGAGGCAGAAGGAGCCAGTCCTGGCAGGCACAGCAGGAGTACATGGTGGGGATGGCTGTGCCCCTCCTGTCCCCCAAGAGCTGCTGCTGGGACCTGAACCAGCTGTTCCTAGTCCAGCTGGCCAGAGGCATCCTCCCAAACCCCTCTCAGGTGATGTTCCTAAGGAGCCCCTCTATTTTTTGCAGCCCTTGCCTGCCAGGAGCATCCCCTGGGAAGGCCAATGGAGTCAAAGGTCCCAGGTGCCCTGTGGGACCCCAGCGAGGTGGTGACACGGGGCAGAGCTCCCTGCAGCAGCTGGAGGCAACCACACATCATGGGACTGGGGACAAGCTCCTGAGGCTGGAGCAGGGCAACTCCAACCCCCCCTTACCCTTGAGGAGCTGGCTGCTCCTTATTGATTAATGTGGTGGCTCATTTCTCCAGAAATAGGCTCTATTGTACTGAGCCCCTGGAAACAGATTTGTCTCACAGCAAAACCTGATTGATTCAACGGCAGCTGCAGCTCCAGCAAGGGCCTGGTGGCCACAGAGCCTGGATGGTCCTTGCCAGAGAGAGCTTCTGGCTAGAGGAGGTTTCAGGCTGGTTCAGGTCAGTTCCCAGCTCACAGCTGATGGATATTTGTTTTTTCCAAGTGTCATTTGTTTTTTCTTCTTAACTTTCTGTGTCTGTAATTGCAAGCAAGTGGCACTGAGGGGCACTTGGACTTCTCTTACAATGGAACAAAATAGGAGGAAGAATATTCATTTTTCCCTAGTGCTCCTGAACTTTCTGTAAAGGAGGGAAAAAGCTGTTCTGGTTCCCTCCCTCCCTCCCTCTCTCCCTCCCCCACCCTCTCTCTCCCTCTTTCTTTTGTGTTGTTTTCCCACCTTCTTCCTTTAAATCGACAAATACTTTGTGGGAACCTTCATGCTTTTCCCTTATTCTCCAGTCCCAAAGAAGGAGTGCAAGATCCCAAAAAGGCTGAAAAAAAGAAAGTTGAAAATAGAGTTGAAAATAGATTTATTTTCTGGGGTTGTTCATCTCTTGAGTTTGGGTTTTTGTCAGGAGTGTCTTGTCATGTCCTGGAGATGGAAAGGGCGTATTCGAGAGCCCTGTGGGTCCCCCACCCTCCCACAAGCACCACAATCTCTGTGGGGAATACAGGGGCCTTCTGAGACAAATTAAGGAGAAAAAGGGAAGAGTGGCTGCAGTTGCTGGCTGCCAGCACTGGCCCTGTGTGAAGGCTGTCCATCACTTGACTGATCACTGGACACTGGGCTCCATGTCTGCTGTGTCTTGCTCCTCCTCCACGTTCCCTGTGGGCTCTGTCCTGTGATCCCAGCCAGTCCCTGCCCTAGAGCTGGAATGGGCACCAGAGGGCCAGGGGATGCTCAGAGAACCCTGAACTCCACATCCAAACCCATGGGCCCTTGCTTACTGCATGGACTGCAGGTCCTTGCTGCCTGCTCATACGTTTCTTTACCCTTTATATTTTATTTTTTTCAAGGCTGAATCTTTCACACTGGTGGTTGTGTACCTTCATTTTTCTCATTCAAAGTTTCTTACAGTTGAAGTTTTATGGGTAATTTTTTAAATCTTTGCCCAAGGAAGTATCAAAGGGAGCATCCCTCCTCAGAGGGATTCAAGCCATTGCATCCACAGGGGAAGCTCACCTTGCTGAGCCCCATTCCTGCTGTCATAGCTGTGACAGCCACCCCAGGACAGGGGAGAACACAGGACAGAGCCCCCCAAGAGCTCTGGAGGACAGTCCAGCAGGGGGACATTGGGCCGGGGATAGCAGTGCTGGCAGCTGTCACCAGAACTCACACCTCGACTCTGTGAGAACTCAAATAATTTTTCAACATCATCAACCAAATTTAGGCAGATTTTCCTGGGGACAGGAGAAGGCAACACTCCCAAGTCCCTGTTCATCAAGCTAGCAACTTGACAGCTTCCCACTGGAATGACAGAATTTTTTTTTCTTAATGCAGGCCAAAGTAATTTCCTCTCATTAGAGCTGCTGATACAGCTGGAAAAAGCGAGCTGTCTCTCCAAAGCCTCATCTTCCAGTGAAGGGCAGCATCCACCCAGCAGATCTTGGGGTGTTTGCCTGCCCCAGCTTCTTGTCCTTCTGGCTATGGCTCTTTGCACTGGAACTCGGAAAGAAAAATACTCAGGGATGGAAAATTTCAAGCTTAGGTAAAGTTGGACAGAATCCAACTTGGCAAGTGAGACTTAGCAGAGAGACCCAGCAAAGGTTTTTCCTTGTGCTGACATTTTTGCTCTGTGCTTTGGGGAGCCTCTCTGCAGCTCTGCTTCAGCCAGGTCAGGCTCTGCCAGTGTAAGAGGTGATGTTAACACCACCACATGTGACTTTCTCTGGGTTTTCCCAATTATTTATTTTTTTTTATTGTCTCTGGAGCTGTGGATATTTCAGAAGCAGACACTGCAGTGGTTTTACATCCTGTGGGGATAGCTGTCCTGTCAGCTCACCCCACTCCCAGAGGTGGCCCAGAGGCTTTGATCCTCTGGCTGCTTGTCCACAGCAGACACTGCACATTATGGTAGCACCAGAACAACCCTGACACAGCCCAGATAAATCACCTGATGGAAATGAGGAGCTGGGATTTTGTTGCAAACTCTGGTTACTGGTAACCAAAAGCAAAGAATTACTCTGTATCTGTGTGTTGCTGGCTGGCTCTGGGATGCACATGAGGGTGAGCAGGGGACATGCTGTAGACTGCTGTGACTCCATCTCCCTTCCGTGAATTCTTCCACCCATACCTTGCCAGAGGATGCCAACCCATCCCTGCACAGTTTGAGGAGCTCTGCAGAAGGACCTTCATGGGCTGTCCTGAGTCCTGGGCTCCTCTACGCCAGGAAGGACTGGCACTCCTTGTGGACCCCAGGAGTCACTGAGAAAGTCCCCAGGTGCTGAGGTCAAAAGCCTCAAATTTCACCTGTGGAGAAACAAGGAGATTATATCTGAGTCATTCCAAAGTTGAAACAATTTTTGTTTGTCTTTATGCTCCAGGCATTTTATTTATTTATTTATTTATTTATAAAAAAGAGAAAGGCAGCAAATTCAAGGTAAAATAAAAGCAATTTGAAGATGAGAGATGAACCTACTCCGCTGTAAATTTGGAGAAACCATCACCAAATTTGATGTGGGGTTGCTGTCCTCTCCTTCCCTCCAGGGAGCACTGTGGCATCTCCTTTCCCCTGGATTTTGGAGAGAATGGATTTGTCTTTCTTACCCAGAGACAGAAATAAAATTCCAACAACCTGCCTGTGCTGGTCTGTTGTTCCCTGTTTTGCTGATTGTGTTCCTTCATCAAGAGGATAATGAGAGGCCAAAGACACAGCAGGGCATGTACATGGTCAGAAGGGGCTTCTCATCTCTGAGGAGGTGGATGTGCTTTCGTCCCAGAGCAGAGATGCTTAAAGCACCATGATACATGATTCTCAGTAGATGCTCTTGCCCCTCCTTGGATCACATCATCCACCCGAGACAGTAACACAGCTTGGACATGATTTTGGATGGATCACGTGGTGGTGGCAGCGGTTCCTGGTGGGAACAGCTGGGGGCAGCCAGAAGGGTGAGCTGGGGCTGGCTGTGGGTTGGGTGTGCTGGTGGAGCTGTTGGAGATAGTTCAGTGGAGACCATGGAGATGCTCCAGGGGCTGGAGCCAGGCTGGGAGAGCTGGGGGTGCTCACCTGGAGAGGAGAAGGCTCCAGGGACACCTCAGAGCCCCTTTCCAGGGCCTAAAGGGGCTCCAGGAGAGCTGGAGAGGGACTGGGGACAAGGGATGGAGGGACAGGACACAGGGAATGGCTTCCCAGTGCCAGAGGGCAGGGATGGATGGGATATTGGGCAGGAATTGTTCCCTGGCAGGGTGGGCAGGCCCTGGCACAGGGTGCCCAGAGCAGCTGGGGCTGCCCCTGGATCCCTGGCAGTGCCCAAGGCCAGGCTGGACATTGGGGCTTGGAGCAGCCTGGGACAGTGGGAGGTGTCCCTGCCATGGCAGGGGTGGCACTGGGTGGGATTTGCGGGTCCCTGAAGCAGCTCCGGGCTCCGGGCCGGGAGCGGGGAGGACGCGGAGGGACCGAGGCGGTGGCGCCTCTGCGCCGCTGG